ACGGCCTTTCTTTTGTATGTTGGACCATTAGCAACAGTCGCTACTTCAAATTAAGCATCAGATCAACTTTAACTACTGGCACATATAATAAAGTACATATGATTTATTGAAAGTGATGAAAAATTGATAATAAATCATATTTAATTGTACGTACCAAACGGTTTAGTTTGTCTGGTGCATAGTTTGAAGTTTCAATTGCAGTCAGTGGTCCAACGAAGAAAATGAAAACTTCCAGAACTAAATTGACTGATGCAAACAATGGGCAATTAACGACAGTTAACTTAAGGGCACACACCTGTGTTAACCTCTATGAATGAAAAAACATGAAAATAATAAGTTATTACAATAATTTATTGTTTTTGATGTAAATTTGTTGGTGTTTTTACAAGACTTTTTACTTCGAAAAAGATGACTCTAATACCTAAAATCATTTAAGTCATAGCAGAGATTTCAGTATACTGATTTATGACTTTTCAGTTCTGTGCCGCATGATCCAGAATGTAATTTTTGACCGATTGGAACCTATGAGGTCTTAAAAGCTTTGTAATAAAATTCTCTACCACGTAGGTGGAGCAGAATTTTGATAAAATTATTTTTCCACTCTGCCAGTCTCCAAATACAATAATAAGTGTTGATAAAATAGTTATTTCAGGCATTTTTTTGCATTTCAGTGTGCAAGAAATTTCTTAAGCCCTATTTCAAAAATCTGCCCCACTCAAGTGGTAGAAAATTTTATTACAAAGCTTTTAAGACCTCCTAGGTCCAAATTGGTCAAAAATTGCATTCAGGGTCATATTATCAGTATACTGAAATCTCTGCTATGACTAGAATGATTTTAGGTATTAAAGTCATCTTTTTTAAAGTAAAAACTCTTGTAAAAACACAAACATAAACAACTTTATGTCAAAAACAATAAATTATTATAATAACTTTTGGTTTAATGTTTTTTTATTCATAGGATTTGACACAGGTGTGTTCCCTTAAAAGAGTCAAATGCCTAGCGACAAAGGCCTACATTTTTATATCATTATATTTAACTGTTTTTATGTACGTAATTACTTAACCTTTGACACGTTGAAAACAGTTTTTATGCCTGTTTTTCAAAATTTTCAATTTTTGAGTTTTCCTACTGATAAACTATAAATTAATATAAAATGATAACCACTTTGCAATTAGAGCACTCAAAGGCACATGTAACATCATCAACACTCAAATTAATTGAACTGCACACAGTAACTTACATCTTGTTTTCACAAAGCTAACTTCAAAAACAAACTTCATCTCATGAAACCGGATGACAAAGTTTAACCTCGTAGTCGATGTAGCATCTGAAACATAAAATGTAGCACAAAATATCACTTCTTAGTCAGTAAATATTTATATATTTTTAATGAAATGTAACAGTTTTAATAACAATAAGGTTATTTTGTTTAAAAGAGTTTAGAAGTATTTTGTTAAAAAGGTTACTTATCTGATGAAGTCGCTGAACAGTTCTGCTGCGGTACTGGTCTGCTAATGCTGCTGCTGCTGCTACCGCTGCTGCTGCTGCTGCCGTATGCAGTCACTTTCTATTATAGTGAAAGAGACACAAAGAGACAAGTCTGAATGTGTAGTCCACTTCAAACCTATCGTGTAAACTTTCAACGCAGACTTGCAGATCTATAAGGGATAGACCTAGAGGGCTGACATTTTCAGGATTTTCATTTTCCAATGTATTCTTCAAGAGTAAATACTTTGTTTCAATTTTCATTTTGAACTATCAACATTAATATGCAATATGTAATAAATAAATCTATAATCATATAAAATAAAAATTAATATATGAAAATAAATTAATGAAAATATAAGAATATATTATTTATAAATTATGTGGTTGAACTTATTTGATTCTAACTATCCTTCAGAAATCCATCCTAACTTTCTCATAAAGTCCAAAAAATTATAAAATTACCATAAAAAAATATAAAATCTTATTTTGTCTTTCGAAATGGCCGCAGTGATGTCATCTACGAACGTTTTCCAATTTTTGAAAAAATCAGCTAAAATTTTGGCGTGATTTTTCAGCTGATTTCTCAGCTGATTTTTCGGCTGATTTTTCAGGTGATTTTTTTCAACAGGGTGTGTATATGACTGTATCATATACAGGGTAAGACAAAAGTATGGAAACCCCTGGAAATATCGCAGAATATTTGTTAAAAAAATCAAAGACCTCATATCCGACGTATTTTTTGACGAGAAATCCGATGGTGACCTTGAATTTGACCTTGAACGTAACCTTGAAGTCCCAGCGACCCAAATATCGATTTTTCAAATGAATACCCCCAATTTTTATTGCAGATTTGAAAAGAGCGGAAAATTTTACGTTGAAACATGCATTTTGTTTTTTTTTTGTCAAGGTCATTTTAAGGGCGTCACAGACGCAAATAAAACCCCAATTGAACTTAAAATTAAGTTCAAGGAAGGGTTTTTTTTCTAACTGTACCACCTCTAAAATGACCTTAAAAAAAACAAAATGCATAGTTAAACGTGAAATTTTTCACCCTTTTCAAATCTGTTATGAAAAATGGGGGTCACCGTTCGAATAATCGATTTTTGGTTCACCGTAGCGTATAAGTTATGTTCAAGGTCAAATTCAAGGTCACCATTGAAAATAGCGGAAAATTTTACGTAAAAATATGTATTTTTTTTTTTTAAGTCATTTTGGAGGCAGTACAATTAGAAAAAAAACCCTTACTTCAACTTAATTTTAGGATCAATTGGGGTTTTATTTGCGTCTACAACGCCCTTAAAATGACCTTGGAAAAAAAACAACCAAAAATTTTGTGCTCTTTTCAAATCTGCAATAAAAAATGGGGATTCCATTTGAAAAATCGATTTTTGGGTCGCTGGAGCTTGAAGGTTATGTTCAAGGTCAAATTCAAGGTCACCATCGGATTCCTCGTCGAAAAATACGTCGGATATGAGGACTTTGATTTTTTTTTAACGAATAATCTGCGATATTTCCAGGAGTTTCCATACTTTTGTCGCACCCTGTATATTATTGTATATTGTATGTGATAAACAAGATTAGTGATAATTGATTTTGAGTGATTTTATTTCCAACTATAGATCCAGTGATTAATGTTTTATGAATGTGAGTGAATATGTACAGGACTGAGTTCAAGTTCTAATGTGAGTGTGCATATTTGTGTGAAAGTTGATTTAGACATAATAAACTTAGTTACGAGTTTCCACATGAAACCAATATTAACGTATACTAACATTTTAGAACAACTTATAAAATGTAGTAATGAAATTGGCGCATTTGGCTTTGTGTGGCTGTCTGGGATAATTGAAAAGTATCCTTGTAAGTCCCATATGTTGAAAATTTATATTGAATAGCTGTTTTTCTATCGCTCAAAAAGTTTTAAACAGTTTCAGTGATATAAAAGTTTTATTATTACATATATTGGGGTATTTATGGTTTTTCCTACTCTGGGGAAGTTATATTACATCTTAAAATTGCTCTGTTGCCGTAACTTTCCATGTGATCCGTTTGAGCAAATAAGTCAAAATTTTCAGAGGTTGTTCTACATAAGAACAAGCGCAAACACTATTATAGTTATTGGACCAAATTTACACTTTTTTCAGACCATATCCTAGCACAATCTGTCATTTTATCATATTATATTAATGAATGAAAGTGTATATATGGCTGTAAAATTGTGTATAATTAATTAAAATATCTTAAAGTACTTGCGTTTGTAACCACACCTTTACTGAACAAAATGACCATGATTGAATCATCGGTTCTAGCTGGATCCTTCGGTACAGGTATACCTCTCAAGCCTGTGGGCTTGCTTCATCAAGGAGGGTTCGATGGTGACTGGGACCTCAATTTTCATATTCCAAAGTGAAAAACCTGAAAAAAGTGAAAAAACAGAGTTTTCTCTGTATAGTCCAAAAAAAATTTTTTCTTTATTTTTTCTTTATTAATGTTTTTTTTATAAATGTAGGTTTAAGGTACCTTTCTCCCCTTAAGGTATTATGAAGATCATTGAAAGGTCAAATAAACTGAATTTCCTGTATAACTATACAGACTAGTTCCCGGAAAACGGTGGAGATTTTAGCAACGATCAAGAAGAATGGTTTTATTAAGACATAAAACATATGGAGCAGTGATATCAAGGTAGATAGTATTTGCGATGATGGATGATTACTGCTGGATGTTGAAGAGACAGAGCCAACATAGAGACATTAAACGCAAACGGTATTCTTTACGCCGATCGTTTGAAGGAAAAAAAGTTGCGTTAAAATTAAGAATACTTCATAAATTTTTGTCCTTTTTTTATTATTTTAACTTTTAAATGACCTCAATCTTGACTTACTATAGGTCACTCAATAAAAAAGCTGAATTCGTCAGCTCCAAAAACCTATACACAATTTTTTCCCGTTATTTTATCTCGTTCGCTAGATTTACCCTTAAAATGACCTTTTCATCGCCTTAAGTTGATCTTCAAATGACCTTGAAGGTGAGAGTATAAAGGTTATCTGACTGTAGATTTGAATTTAGCACACTCAAAAACTTGTATAGGAGTTTTTTCGATTTTTTTAACCTTTTTTTTTAATGATTTGACCTTTAAATGACCTTCGAATGACCTTAAATTGATTTGATTTAGAAAAACCAACACCGGATTCGGATTCAGCGACCCCAAAAACATCTAGTCCGCTAGGTCCAGTCTCTAGAACTGAAGATTTTTTCTGTGCCTGTGTCATTCATCATATAATACTCATGATGATCTTTTTAATAATTTAATAACTGGACACTGTGAATATAAAAACGGAATAGCTCAAAACTGCCTTTAAGATGATTGGTTTTAAAACCATATCAAAGTTTTATTACTAACTCAAACGATTGCGAAAACAAACTATCCCATGGGAAGAACCTAATTTATTTTCTGTACTTAAAAATAAGAGATCTAAATTAAATTCAAAGAGTAAAAATTTTTGTTTCTGTCCAGGTTCAACTTTTTCTTCAGCAATTGCTAGTAAAAAAGAGGATTTTATCGACTTTACTCCAGCACTTAGACGTCATCGTCAGCTTAAAAAACATGGTGACATCAAAAACACTTTTACAAACATAAAATCAAATCAGATTCCATCACCGTCGGTTTTTCCAATGGTAGATCGCGGGGTTCCAACGTTATTACTTGGTGAATTAACCAATAAAGAACATGGAAAAAATGAAGAAGATTCATCTGATAGTGACGTACAACAATTTCCTCCTCCTCCGCCTAATTTTTCTACATTAATAACGACTGAGAATAATGCCAGGTAATACATTTTTAAAAACAAATATTTTCGGTAATAAGACGCCTATAAAACATAATTTTTAAGCTTTAAATCGATTCAAAAAGTGTTAAAATAGTACTTTACGATACAAGTGTCATAAGTAACACCTTTTGGCACGGCGTAGTTTAGGGCCCGAGCGCAGCGTGGGTCCTAATAGCTGAGCAGAAAAGTGTCCCCATGGCACGAGTATCGTACAACATTTTATAGCACTGTGTTAAGTTCACATTTATGCCCCCTATTCCGAGTCATGAGTCGCACTTTCTGGTAGCGCGAAGTGAGGTTAGCGCAAGAGCGTATGCGAGTTTTTTTATTTAATTTTTTTTTATTAAATCAATTAAAACATTTGAAAGTGCTTGCGTTTGTTACCAGACAGCTTCTGAACAAAATGACATCACTCTTATTTTGATTGGCTCATGGGTTCTAGCTGGATTCTACGACACAGGTGTACCTCTCAGGACTATGTGCTTGTTTCATCGAGCAGGTACCTGTGGTGACTGGGACCTCAATTGGCATATTCCAGAGTGAAAAACATTTAAAAAAGAGTGAAAAAACAGAGTATTCTCTGTATAGTTAAAAAAAAATGTTGTCTTCCTTTTTAATGAATATTTTTAAAATGCAGGTTTAAGGTACCTTTCTCCCCTTAAGGAGGCTCTAGCTAAATTGAAAAAATCTTTAGACCGGAGTGAAATTTTAACCACCGATAGTTCATGAAATTACAAGATTTTTGTTTAAAAAAAAATTGGGGGTTTCCATGCCTGAAAATGGCTGTTTTTGGTGATTTTAGGCATTTTGGGCCTATTTTGGACCTTTTTTGCATGTTTTTCGCCACACATTGTTGTCTACATTGCGTTAAACTTTAAGACCCATTACAAAACTTTATCAGGCAGTAGTTGACATCTTTGGGAAGCTTTTTACATAGTTTAGGAAATGAAAGTCCGGTTCGAACTCGATTAGATTTCATCATTTATGTTCCTTTGGAAGTTTTTTTGCTTTACACTTACCTAGATTGTTCCAATCACTTTGGCATATTTTTTTTCTGAAAATTTGGACAATTTTCAACAAAAAAGTTGCTGGGCACTTTTACTTTTGAATCATTCTACCCTAATCCAGGAATTATTTGAATATTTGTGATTTTTCATGAATTTCAAAAAAACCCTAAAATGGCCAACTTCGGGCCTCTGAAAAAGAGTGATAGATGGTCCCAAAAATTCTAATAAAATTTGGGGACATTTCTGACATCGGGAACAGCAAGTTTTTCATATTTGCAAAAAAAAAAATTTTTTGGCCATTCGATTTCACAGAGAATCGGCCATATGTATTTGGACCGCGGGATACCTCATGAGGCTCAGGTAAAGCATAATATACAGAGAACAATAGTGTACAGATATTTACAACCAATAATAGTATACATATTAGCTATTAAGTAAGCCGTGAATATACAAAACACGATGGCAAATAACAATGAACTCTAGGTTTAAGAGATAAAATTAATGCATGGCATGATAGCCATACGAGGCACGCTCTCTCTCTCTCTCTCTCTCTTTCTCTATGGCCAAAAAACTAGGTCGTTCACTAGTGGAGGTGGAATCGGGGAAATGTTCTTAAAATGGCAGCGAACAATCCAGTCCGCCTTGTCGAGACAATACAAGTGGTTGTGGAGCAGCACCCGATAATCAATTGATGTGTTGGTGACGTTGATTTGAAATGGGAGTGAATTAATAATGCGTGAGGTTGAAATGAAAAATGAGTTATGTAGCGATGATGCCGACAGCAGCGACGCCTGCCGACGCAATGAATAGCAAACCTGACGATCAGGAGAGAGTCTGAAGAGATTACGAAGCAAGCTAACTTCACCGCTCCGCAGAGTGTTGAGTGCAAGCAGGACGAGCAGGTATTGGCGACGTGACTTATAGCCAACCCAGAGCCAAAGAATTTTCAAGCGATTCGATAGGTGCTATGAGGAGTTTGTCGCAGCTTGAGGATGCTCAGCACAGCATACAGTTGATCTGAATCGATCATCATCTGCGATGGGGCAACTGTGAGCTAGCTTCTGTAAGCGAGGAAATCAAGTGCGAGGTTGATGCAATAAAAGCTCAGATTTCCACTTCAACTGAAACTGCTCCATTATCAACGTCTACACCGGAGATTATTGAGGATTCGTGTGAGATCAGGTTCGGCGGTATACTTCGCGAGGTTGATGCTACTTCCACTGAAATGGCAGCAAGAATCTTAAGAGCAATGGGATGGCCCGATTCGAGATTCATATTGTCCGAGTGCGTGAGTGGATCGACCGACCTGCTTCTGTACGTCCGACCACACGGCAAATTGTAGTACAATTCTCTAGCTCGTTAATACGAGAGCAGTTGATTTCTTCTTCACCTGGACTGCGTGAGCTCTCTTTAGAACAACTATTCGGAGTCGGAGGTGAATGGACGCATTTATGCTAGGTTAGTGGAGAACTATCGAAACTGCACGCATAATCATTGCTCCCGTCCATTCATGCGCAGATTCAACGTATTGGTACGGCCCGCGCCTAGTCAACCGGCAATTCATGTGCACTTAGAAAAGGATTACAAGTTACGCAACATTTCTTGCAGGCCTGATACCAACCATCAAAGAGCACCAATACAAGGTGGCACACCGCTGACTACCGGCCCTTGACTATGAGACTCGCGTTGCATGCACATTTATCATCAATTTTTTTCCAACTCCTATAATTACTTTATTCTCTGCTTTGCTTATTACAATTATTTTTTTCTCTGTTCTATTCAATGCTGCTGACTTTTTTGTTTTTCTTGATTATAAATAGCCCAGATTCATATACTACTCTTCGTTTTAAAGCGGTCACCTATCACCTCATTTATCAATCATTTTTCCGAAACTCATAACCTTTTTAATTTCCTGTCCTTTTCTAATCCTTTTCACTCCCTTCTCCTCGCAGCACGATTGGACCGGGTGGCTCCAGTGGTATAGGCTGGAGGGCTTGTGCCTTCTTCTCCACAGCGTACTGACAACACGAAATTGAGAGAAAATCAGTGCCAAGCGCTGTTATTCTCTAACACTTTTGCTCTTGTACTTCTATAATATATTGTAACGGGGAATGCCTTGCAGAAGAGCCGGCTAGCTCGTGCCACACGAGAATATGATCGCAAACCCGCGTTGCACAATACAACTCGTCGATACCTTGCTTCGACGAGCTCTGGTGATGATCCCGCGTACAGATGCTCGACGAGCCGTTGCTCGTCGAGTAATCGCCTTGCTGAAATGGGTTGAAATAGGCAACACGAAATAAATAATCAGTCGCGAATTAATAAAATGAAATAAAGCGATTTATTCGCATGAAAATTAATTAGTAATAATTCGATTAAATTAGGGCCGCACGCACGCTCGCAATGAATACAATAGATACTCGGTCGCTTACTCGTCGCTGACAAAGTCGTCTGCAGGATCCACTCGCACAGGGTCGTCGCTCGAGGTGGATCCGCGTTGGTTCGCTCGCACGCAAAGTTCACAAACACAGTTTGACGCTCGGACACGAAGTGAGGGTTCACGCGCTACGACGATCGATCGTAGGTCCCTCGATTATTTATTATCGTCTGCTCGTCGTACTTACTGTACGACGAGCCGCGCAAGTTACTTTTCTGTAAATTCAAATCCGCGCTCACGACTTAACGCGCGAATTATAATTCCGCGTTACAATATATAGATTCAAGTTTAATTACATCTTTTAATTGCTGTTGGGTAAAATATAGTTTTATCCAAGGCCTTAAGAAACTAGTAATGAATTAATCAACCAATCTATCTCTCGTGAGCTCGCTGGATTTTCTTTACTAGAATACTCACGGATGGCCTATCACGGCTGCCAGAATGCTGCGGTACAATTTATGGGGTTCGTGCAGGTTTTCCCAGATTCAAGTACATCTCTCCATCCTACTTTAAGCTACGAACCCTCAAACTTAATGAACGCTGCAGTCTTCCTATTATTTGGTTGTTGACCGCCGTTTTAAAAATTGGAGCAACGGCTTACCTTGAGGCCTGACTCTCCTTCGAATCAGACAACGCCGGTCAAGGTAGCCAGAGATCGGAGCTCGACTTGTCCATACTCTTAGCCCGGCTTAGTTCCTGAACACTTTCTTCATACACGTTCCTAATCTGTGGAACGATATTACTAAGTTGTTGCTACGTTAGAACCAGGGTTGTAAAAGATTGAATGAATTTCTAATCTAAATCCAGTTAAATTTACGAATCAATTGTAATTTTTGAATTAAAATAAATTTAATTCATAAATAAAATTTATTCGTGAATTAAACTTGATTTAAATCTTTCATGATTTAAATCGAATTTCATGTCTCCAGTTAACATAAGTTGTTTATGCTTCAGTTAGTAAAAAAAGCCTAGCGTGGACTTCTCGAGTACATTATAATTCTTTTGGTCTCTGTAGGACCCAAAGAACTATAATCTAGGTGAATCTAAGAGGTAGATATAGTGAATTTTTCTAGGCCGTTTTGGTTTATCCGGGATTTTCAGGTCCCAAGAAATTAAAATGAAAATTGGAGCGAACTTCTCCAGGATGTTATTGTTCTTTTGGGTTAATATATTGTTGAAGGATCGATGAGATAATAAAAATAAAATAATTGCCACAAATACTTCAAATGTTTATCGCAAATCCTTTATTATGAAAATAAATAAATTGGCTCGATACCTGGAGAAGCTCAAAAGGATTAAAACTCCCTGGAGAACCCCACTATGTACCTCTATAACTCACCTGGGGCCCGAGCGACCCAAAAGAAACATAACATCTTGGAGAAGTCCGCTTTGATCGATTTCAATCTCCTGGAGCTAAAAAGCCTAAAGGAGCTATAACGGACTGAAGTACGAAAAGTTTACTCTTGTCTATTTTTAATACTTGGAGCATGAACAACCCAAAGAAACTGCATGCATGAAATTTGATTTAAGGGGACCGACCTGTGTTAAAAGCTTAAATTCAAAAAATAGCTATATAAATCGAGAAATAGTGGACATTTTTTTTGTGATAGTAAAATATTTTCATTAGACACCTGATTGACCAAAAAAAAAGTCTACCCTAGCTCTGAAATGCCAATTACGCCTTTTTTTCATAATACTAAATATTATAATAGGATTCACTTGCCACGCGATTCTGACGTGAGCTCTTCATCAATATTGATCTATGGGGTCTCAAAATCTTCAGAAAAGTACCCTCATCCACTTAAGGGGACATTCCCATTTGCAAATTGTAAAAAAAAATCACTTTCTTAATATTTTTTTTTAAACTATAATTTTTATTCATTACGGACCTTTTAGGTATTGTTCCTTACATATTAAACAACAAAAAAATTTTTTTATGGGACTTAAGACCCATTTTGTTAGCTGCAGATGAAATCTGCTGAAATCCGAGTTTCGGCTCTTGCCAGCGATTGAGAAAAAAATACTAGTCCGATCTTTACGTTTAATATCTCGTTTTAAGCGTTACAACTTTCTCTAGAAGACAAACCTCTAAAAAATTCATATTCTCAATTTTTTCGATTTTGGCATGAGTTTTTCTAAAAAAATGCTCTTTTCGGTGGTTATGGGGGTGAATTCACCCCCGTGAAAAAAAATGGGCATGATTTTTTCAACTTTTTAGAGATTTGTCTTCTAGAGAAAGTTGAAACGATTAAAACGAGATATTAAACGTAAAGATCGGACTAGTAGTTTTTTCTGAAACACGGATTTCAGCAGATTCCATCTACAGCCAACAAAATGGGTCTTAAGTCCCATAAAACAATTTTTTTGTAGTTTAATATGTAAGGAACAATACCTAAAAGGTCCGGAATGAATAAAAATAATAGTTTTCAAAAAAAAAAAAAAATTTAAAAGTGATTTTTTTACAATTTGCAATGGGAATGTCCCCTTAAGCGGAGCAGAATTTGAAAAGAAGTTTGTTTCTCTTCCAAGAACTTAAATATGTCTTCTAGGATTGATAAAATACTAATTTTCTTAAAAATTGGCACATTTTGACGTGTATATAAAGTTGTACGCAATTTTTCAAAATTCTGCTCCGCTTAGGTGGATGAGGGTACTTTTCTGAAGATTTTGAGACCCCATTGATCAATTTTGATGAAAAACTCTTTTCAAGATCATGTGGCAAATGATTTATAACACAATATTTCGTCTTATGAAAAAGAGATGTAATTGGTATTTCAGAGCTTGGGTAGAAGTTTTTTTTGTCAATCTGGTGTAGAATGAACATATTTAACTATCACAAAAAATAATTTCCACTATTTCGATTTATATAGCTATTTTTTGCTGAAGCTGAATTTAAGCTTTTAACGCAGGACGGTCCCCTTAAATCATAAAAGATTAAAATCAAGTTTAATTCATGATTCGATTTGATTCGTGAATTAAAATCATTTTAATTCATAAATAAATTGGAATAATGATTTATGGAGTTTTTAAATTGATTTTTTCAACCCTAGTTAGAACATTAATTAAAATGAATTTCAAATATCAAATAATAATTTTCTTATTCCTGGTTTTGATAATTCATATAAAAGCATATGTAAGATTTATCAAGATATTTTGATAGTAATTGTAATATTACGTCTTTAGAATGAATTACATTTTCATACGACTTTTATGTACCTATGGAAATTATTTAAATGTATAGAATTTATTAACAAGTAGGTAAAATATTTCATAGCAATGCGTGGCATAAGTTCATGTTTATGCCACGCTTTTCGGTGGTTTTAATAGTCTCGTAGTTTCTCTTAAGTATGTCGAAGTAAAACTAGTGTTTTAGTTTATTAATAGCACCGGTACTATCAAGTATCGAAGTTGAATCCTTACCTAATCTGATGTATTTTCAAAAGTCATTATTGATAAAAAGAATTGCAGTGAAACTAAATTCTTTATTAGCCCTTATAAAAATTTCCAATAGGATCCCGCGAAATTCCTATTGGAATCCTATAGGACTCCTGTAGGAATTTCGCGAGATCCTATAGGAAATTTTTATAAGGGAGGAGTTTGAAATTTTTCAAATAAATGTGCATTTAAAAACAGTGACAGCAATCCTTTTTGCACGAGAATTACTGTCGGAAAAATATTCAACATTATTAAGATTAATGTGATTTCTATGGTTTATTTGCTCCAGTTTAACTTTTGTAAATCTATTAAAAATAATTCAGGACAAGAATTCAACCGCAATAGTCCCCTCACAATCTCCAAATTTTCGACATGGTAACATTTATGGGACAGCAGAATTTCCATCAACCAAATTATAAATCATATTGATTTTTAATTATTCTGGATGATTCGAGTTGAAATATAGAAACAACCTAAGGAAGATACTTTCTAGTGTCAGTTAATAATGATAATATTGTTGTCAATAGTATTATTTGACTAAGGGGCGTTTTCACAAAGCGTTACTGACGGTCAGGATTGAACAGCTGATTTGCCTGTAGGCATAACAAACCAAGTTTCCATATACTTTATATGTTAAGTCGATTAATTTGACTGTAAATTACAAATAAATGAGATGCCCTGAAAATTCATAAAAAAAATATGTCGATGTAGAGGAACATTTAATCTTTCCATCAATCGAAGCGGATTTTACAATTTTTCTTTAGTTATTGCAAAAAAAATTGTTGAAATTTTGGTCATTTAGGAGTCTAACCCGCTACGTGGGTGCTGTCAACACTGACTTGCGCGTGTCCGTGATCGTTTTAGCGTAATTTGAGAATACATTTAAATATTAAAATATAAAATTTCAGAATTTCTATTATTTTTCGGTTTTTCTTTTGGTACACAAAAGAAGGAAAACTATCCATTTTGGGAATTGGCTTTGCATCCCATAATATAACACCTCAACACCATTTTTTATTTTATGATTGCAGATTATAGAAAAAAAAATCGAATCTCATATCGTGGACTGCGCAAGTCGGTGTGACAGCAGCTGAGCAGCGAGTAAGACTCCGAAATGACCGAAATTCCAACAATTTTTTCTACTTGAATAAAGGTGAAATGGAAAAATCCGCTTCGATAGATAAAAAGATGAAGTCTTTCTCTACGTCGAGGGATTTTTTAATATATTTTTATCTAAACTCACTTAGTTTTAAGTAGCAATTAAACGAATCGACTTTACATATAAAATGAATGGAAGTTCGGTTTGTTATGCCTACTATACAGGCAAATCAGCTGTTCGAGCGAATCGGTTAGTTACGGTCACTGAAAACGCCCTATATAATCTTACCGATTAACAGGTATATGTTTTTGGATTTGTTCTCTTATGTTTTATTGTTTTGTTGACAGATTTTTATAAAGTTTTTGTTATATTTATTTATAACAGTTCACCTGAAAAGGCTTATACAGAAAATTAACCGAAACGTTGTGAAAATAAATAAGAATTGTCAAACATCTGACTTGTGCCCCTTTATTCCAATTCAAGACAATATTTTAGAAACCTACAATATTTTATTACCTGCATGGCTTAGAACACAGGCCAATTGAAGACAATTTTAATAATATGACTATGAATTTATAAACGTCTATTGATGTATATTTTTACTTTTAGGTGCCGCAGATTTAAACCAAGTTGAAATGGATTATAAAAAATTGAAATTTAAAACAACATGTTGTAAACGCTATCACGAATGAGTTTTTTGTGATTCAGCTACGTGTGTAGGCTTTGTGCCATTTGGGATAATCTAAATGTGATGTCTAGTAATTGTGGATAGATTTGATTTAGTGGATAAAATCTCATAAAAATGATAAGTATAATGTGAAGTCTTCAAATAAATTATATAATCAATCTTCTCATAGATAAAAACACTTTTCATCGTGTTATATTATTTAAATCCTCATTGATCTACCTTTAAAAAATAATTCATAAGTTTTCTCATAATTCTCGAATATTCCAAAACAATCGCATTTTATTGTAAGATTGCATAAATGAGATAATTGCGAATATCATGCTAATAAATAAATAGTATGTTACTACTCTTGCCGTAAAAAATAGATAAGTTCCAGGGCACATGTAACGAACAGGCGAGACAGATTCGGATAGGCATTTTTCGATGTTGGCAATTTAGGTACGCATCATACTATTTTTATATGCACACTAAACTTATCATAAAATTAATATGTAGTTATTTATAACAAAATATGGCGCTCGAGTATAAATTTGAGTAAAATATTCGATTTTTAGCTCCTTTTTATTTACTTCAATTCAATAGAATTTTCTTTTAATTTCAAACTATCTTTGAGCCCTTAAAAAAATCATCGTAGTTTATAGCAGAACTTAATATCCGTGAGGGTGTTTATGAAAGTACTTTTTGGAAAAAATCAATACAAAACCACTATATGCACCTACATTATATTTTATTTTGTTTTTGAGTTATATTTCTGTTTTTGATAGTTGTTAAGTTTTTTTCTTTTATTAATAATTTTTAACAGGTTTCGGTAATTATTGAACGGATCGGTCTGAATTTTGAAATTTAGTTTGATGAACATTTTTTTGTGAACGACAATCCTATGATTCTACGATTCCAGATGTTAATATGAGTCATACATATACCAATTTTTAGTCAACTTTGAATTAATTTTTGTTTAGGATTCAAACTTCATATCTGAGTTTGAATAATATATTTCTGTTGAGGAGGTTCGGTTCATTCAGACAATTAAAAAAAAGATCTTATGCACAATTAAATTTTTAATATTAATTATTGACCAAATAGATACATATATATGCCTTATATACCTTATTAATTAAAAAAAAATTCTTAAGAAGGAAATTTTTAGACACTCACGTATACGATCAAATATCTTGAATATCTTATTAATCCCTTAGGAAAAAATCTGAAAAATTTTTTCATAATCGTTGTGAATATAGTGCTAGAGCTCTTTACATTTTATCAAAAAGATATTCAATTTAATTAATCAACAGAAGATTGTTAGTTAATTTTCAACTTTCAGTTTCGCACATTTGTGCCTAAATAAAACTACTAATTGTATTAGAATATAAATCAGTGACATCATTCTTCCTTAATTGTTTATGCATTATATTTAACTATAAATCAAATTAAAAACAAAATATAATTGATTTGTAATAATATTCTTTTCCCTCTCTAATAAATTTACAGTTTTTTTTAATAATTTGTAAAATTTATCTTTATATATTTTAAATAATACTTTCTGTGACAATTTTATCCATTTTTTTGAATATTTGTTGAATCAAAAATCAAAAAAAATGAAATAAACAATGCTGTTGGGTTAGGAACAGTTTAATTTAAAACTATCGAATACAGGCCGGTATGTCTTTAACTTTATTTTCTGAAATATAAATTTACCATACAATGCTCGTTATTATAATTTTCACCTATTTGATCAAGATATTTTTTTAAGAATTAATTAGGAGAGATCGAAGATCAGGTATTTGGGTTTTACAATTATTTATTACTTTTTTCATACTTCTAACATACCACGAACTTTTATATTTTCTTTTCATTGTTAAGACTTAAAATATTTACATCATCTACACCATAAATCATTATGAATATCAATTATATATATAGTTTTTATTTATACTGTTGCAGTGAAAAAATCTTGAACGTAATGCATAAAAAAATTTAGTTTTTTATTTTTTCTTTCTATAATTTATATATAAATAACTTAATTTTTCAAAATATCGATTTGTTGATATGATTAATATTATCGATTTGAGATCATACTTTTTTAAATAAATGCGAATAAAATGCGAATCAAACTCATAAATGTGTTATGTGATCCAGCAATAAAAAATGTCAAATTAAATTATTTTCTGTGTTGATACAATTATTCAAATGAGATCTGAGTTGAATATTATTTTATGTTTTTCTTCCTTGGAATCATCGAAATGGATATGAATGCTCATAATAATAAATCTGGCAGAATTTCGGTGTTTTATACATTTCTCAGGTACACGAAGAAGGAGAGTATGAATCATATTATATCGTTGGAGTAAATTTTGCAAATACAATCATTTTGATTTTTGATATTTTTACCCCTAATTTATAATTATATTCATATTAATTATATTTATACTATAATTTTCTAAAAAAGCAAATATTATTAAAGTACAGAAAAATATATTAATTTTTCAAAATAATGATATCTTATAATTTATCATAATAGAACAAAATTGAACAAGTTTAAAAGCAATGTGGTGGATTATAGAATTCGAACGATGTTAAATTGTCGATCGCAGTAAAAAAATAATAAAAATTGGCAGGGTAGCATACTAAGTATAGAGAAATAATATTTTTAAAAAGTCAAATATAAATGCATTGATATATACAAAGAAAGGATATAATATGTATATATATTATTAATTTACACACGAACACGTCAGTTTGTGAGTTCGTTCATATGGAAAATATTTCGAATTCCTGGAGGGGAAAATGTAAAAAAAGAGAGTAGGAGATCCTTTAAAATTGATAAGTGAACAAAAAAGGAAAGAGTTAGAGGTAGGGATAAGCTTAAGAGCTAAAAATCAGTAGTGAGCACATACTGTGTGTATAACACACGTTGTTTTGGATTGTTTAGTAGTAAAACATTTCTTAGGTAAATTTAATTTATAGATATAAACAATTTTCAGTAGAAATGTTTTGTTCCGTTAAGACATAATTTGCAGATTCGAATGAACATTTTTATTTTTAAAGTGCGTATTATAATAACTTTTTGGGAATATTATAATACTGGTATTGGTTAATATTTCTGGAAATAGAACATTTTTTATTCAAACCTTGAAACATTATATTTTTCGTTGATAAAAAAACTGCTTTATGCTCACAAAAACGTTTAACAATTAACAAAGTTTGATATGAGAATGCAACGAAATATTTGTACCAAGCTCCAAGGAGGATTCTTACGTCGTTGGTGTAAGTAATATACATGTCAATAATATTTCCTTGAAGCAACGTTTTTTACTAACAATTTTTTCTTTTAACAATTAAATTGTTGTTAAATTTGACGTAAACTTCGAGGAAAATTCATATTATAATACTTTATTTATGCAACTATAGGTCAGTAATATTTAAACAATTTTAAATTTGCATAGTGATCAAGGCTAATCAAAAATATCTATGCATCAAGAAAAAACTAATACTAATCAGTTATAACGATTTGAACAATTTTTTTTCATTTATGTAATATTTAAAATAACGATCCAATACCACTTAATATTTTTAAATTCGAACATATGGAAGAAATATTCAATTATTTCTGAATGTTTTGAAGCACGCAACTTTAACTCTTTGATATTTTAATGCGCGTTTGATCTTATTTGTTAATTTATACTGCGTCGCTTATGGACGAATATTAAAGATATAATTATTAAAAATTATTTTAAATCATTGTCAATTCAACCACCATAATTGTTATATATGCGAACAAATTTGCATAATCAACAAAATTGAAATTTGATCGAAATTTTTTTTACTTTCACAGTTCTAAACAAAAAACAGAATATTGGAAACTAATGTTACTACAACGTGGTCCTTATTTCACAATTTTCTTGAATGCTCACTTTCACTGTATATTGTTTTTATAGAAATAAGTGGCCTATAATGATCCTTCCCGCAATAAGTCTTTCCACGGCATATTTTTTTTCAAAATTTGTTTTGTTATTTTTCGGTGTGTTATCTAAACGTTTGCTAAATGAAAATGAAAAAATATTACGAAATATTTTTCTTTTCTTTATGTATTAAAATATATATTGAGTTTTGGTAATAATTAACTTAATTGATAAATCTCAGTTGAGAAATCAGGAAAGGTCTATGAGTCAAAATCTCAGTACAATAATATAAATTCTATTATAAATAGTTTTTATTTTTTTTAAACTTGAACATCTATTCCCAGCAACCAAATTATTTTTCCTAATTTTAAATTTTACGCTAATTGCTTTTAAAAGACTTTGAAATCTTTATTTTACTCATTTTACGTTCATACAAACACCTTTTCAAAATAAAAATGTAAGTCATAAATTCGTAAATAATTATAGTATTAAATCTAAAAATCAGACCTAGACGCAAAATGAATTTATTATGTACAAAATACTAGCCAATTTTCAGGAATACATAAAATGTACAGAAAGTATAGGCCTGGTTCACGCAATTAGGCATTGTCATCGTTTTTAACACGCTCTCTTTTCGAACTAGCCTGAAGTTTCGCCCAGGGCTGTTTTTTAGGCCCATAAAATTAATATGGGCAGCAGTGGCGCCCTCACTCATAAATGCTATGCTGCCTATTGGGAAATGAGTGGTAGAAATTTTTGAGCCAAGATGGCGGAAGGAGATCGGACAATAACATAGGGCTTTTATGGGGCCGAACCTTTAAAAAATGTTTAAAAGTGTATGCAAAATAGTTTCAGGTATCGGATGCGATCAAAATAATCTTTATACACGTGGCCGATTCTCTGTGAAATCGAATGTCCAAAAAAATTTTTTTTCTGCCAATATGAAAAACTAGTTGTATTTGATGTCAGATTTGTTCAAAAAAATTTTTAGAAAAATTGGGGCCTTCTATGACACTTTTTCAGAGGCCCAAAATTGGCCATTTAAGGGTTTTTGTGAAATTCATGAAAGATCACAAATATTCAAATAATTCCTGGATCAGGGTAAAATGATTCAAAAGTAAAAGTGCCGAGCAACTTTTTTGTTGGAAATTGTCCAAATTTTCAGAAAAAAAGTATGCCAAAGTGATTGGAGCTATTTAGTAAAGTGAAAAGCTCTCAAAAGTTGAAAAAAACACAAAACAAGAAATCTACTCGAGTTCGAACCGGACTGACTACAGACTGAAAACGGCTGCTTTTGGTGATTTTAGGCATTTTTGACCTATTTTTGACCTTTTTTGCACGTTTTTTGACACACATTGTTGTCTACATTGCGTTAAACTTTAAGACCCATTACAAAACTTTATCAGGCAGTAGTTGACATCTTTGGGAAGCTTTTTACATAGTTTAGGAAATGAAAGTCCGGTTCGAACTCGAGTTGCCTCGATGGGCCTCTGAAAATGTGTCATAGAAGGCCCCAATTTTTCCAAAAATTTTTTTGAACAAATCTGACATCAAATACAACTAGTTTTTCATATTGGCAGAAAAAATATTTTTTTGGACATTCGATTTCACAGAGAATCGGCCATGTATATAGTTAGAAAAAAGTCGTATGCAAAACAGTCTGTCTGTTTACTTGCAATTAGTTAATTAAGACGTTTTGAGCCTATATTTGATCTTTAATTCGGCTGCTACAACTCTCCATAACCTCACTTTAGACAGAAGTATGAATTCTAGGAGCGCGTTATCGTTTCAAAATCTATAACTACAGCTTTCAACTATTTTGACATATCCTATAAAATACTAAAATTAAGGAAAAAACCGTGGATCCCGTGCACATGTTTATTAAAAAATTTTTAATTCTTACCCACACAATTAATACTGTGCTTAGTTCACAGTTATTCCCCTTTTCACTTGTTGTTGATCGAGCAACATTCATGAACAATAAAGCGCGAGCGAATAAAAGAGAGATTGATTGATTGATTGATTGATTAATATTTTTATTTGGGTTTCGGGCTACGATCGCATGAGGCCCAAACGGCAATTTTCAAGAATGTAAGTGAAAGCAATTCATAAGTATTTATATAAGTGTATAATTGAAAGCATTAAATGCATCATATAGTCAGCTGGGTACGTTGGAGCATTGTATCTACTTATAAAAAAATCTCTTCATTATATTATTTATTTTATTTTATTATTATTTTATTATTATTTATTTACTTATAAAAAAGAGATAGACCTCAAAGTGAAGCATCGTAAAACGGTCTCTGATTGGCTGACACAGACGGCGACGCTCGACGCAAGACGACTCGATACGAGCGCCTGCGCTACTAACTATCTGTTGACTCCTATTTCCTCGTGAAATATTACATCGAAATACACTGTATTATTTAAAGTAAAGTCTTCATTAATTGAATTTTCCTATATCTAGCTCCTGAGCTATTTCATAAGAATCTTTGTTGTCGGACAAAATTTATTTATGACTTTTGGAACTGTGACTTCTGTATTGTTGTTAAATTTATTTGATAATTGTCTATATCTAGATAGATTGCAAATAAACAAAATTTGATTCAAAAAAATGTCTTATGTATGTCCAATATATACTATGAAATTTCGTATCTTAATATTTTTTTAGAATTTCTTGAAAATTTTTCTTATTGTATGTGTTTTTACACAAGTATTACCATGAATATGATTTTGACAGGGTTTTACATGTTTTTTTTTCCTACACCACCCCATTCGGACTCTCCCCGGTAACCGCCGCTAGGCATTGCTTCGGTGAGACCGGGGTTAGTTAAGCATTTCTGCTACTTCGATATTCGTCGTTTCCATACATCCCCCGTCCGTCGCATAGTGATATACGACGATTAGGGGTTCAGGGACTCATCTTGTTCTGCTTGGTGAACCTCCGTACCCTGCGTGATGCCATCTCTCGATTGTCGTGTCCCGCCTTCGGAGCCGTCTTTTTTTGCGTGGTCACACATTGCTAGCATCTCCTCTTGAGTTAAGCATTAGAACTCGCTGCCCAGTGCCATCCTGTGAGTGTGGTTCTCGCTTCCCGCGCTACCCTGTGAGTCCCGGTGAGTTTTTGATACTCCTTTATGTTGCCATCTTGTGAGTGTAGTTTTCGCTTCTGACTTCATCATTGGAGTGTTGTGTACCCCGTCTATCGCCAGCCTTGTGTCCTCGCCTCGGGCTCCTACTAATGTTTATCCTCTTCGTTTTCAGCTCGCGCAGTGATCGGGGTGTTTTTACCGCTTCGGAAGCTGATGACATAGCCCGAGTCTTCTTTTTTGCGTGGTGCCCGCTCCACTTCGGGCCCGGGCTCGACCACACCAGGCAAATAAACGTGCCTTGAAAATTCGCCCGGTGGGGATCGAACCACCGCCCTACGGAACATCCTTGTATCAGCAGGCAAGAACTATACCCACTGAGGCCGGTAGGGTTTCGCATGTTTTTTTTTTTTTTTTTGACGTGGGCAGAGTGAACTCTGCAGCCAGTGGCCCTTCGAAACGAGTACCCCACTGGAAACCGTCGTTAAACATTACTTCGGTGGGGACTCTATACAGCTTCTCTGCTACATCTGTGTCTTTTCCGTACATCCCCCGTCCACCTTACGGTGATTAGGGGTTCGAGAACCAGAAGCGTCGTTTTCGTCTTTTTCTCACAGCATCGTCCGGATTGTTTTCACACCTCTTGCGCTTCTTCTCTCAGTCTGGTTAGAGTTTTGCATGTGTGACACTATATGTGTTACTATGTGTTGAGACATGTATATATCACATAAAAATAAGAAAAATCCGTACGACCGCCCGTACGGAAGCTCGTTTTTCACAGTTTGACCTCCCATACCCAACGCGCGTATAGAAGTTACACTTCAAAAAATTATAACAACAGTTTTTTTTTATTGTTCAAATTTTTAACAACAATATGCAAGAAAATTGCGTATAACGTATTTCATATTGATGATGGACGAAAAGTACTTCCATTTATGGACAATGCTGGACCTCACCGAGACAATTTACAACTGACAAACGTAAAAACGTAATTACAACTTAACAAGTAGGTTAGTTAATAAAGCCTTAATTGACGCCAAAGAAAGCATTTAAAATTATATAGTTAAAAATGTTGTTTTTTTATATTCCTCCTTTCCTACTCTTCCCAATAGCGGACAGTTTTCCAGGTTTTTAGGGTGTCCACTATAGAAAGATTTCACTGTATATATATTTTTTAATTCTTTCTTTAACGTCAATTAAGGTTCCATTAACTAAGTTGCTTGTACACATTTTTTTAACTTTTTATTTCAATTGACGATCCGAACCGAGGAAATGTCATTACGTTAAAATCCTTGCAAACACAATTTTAGTATAGCGATACAAGAGGATGGAATCCGTGGATAGTGTCCCGCATTTTTATTGTAAGTACTTTGTAAGTACTAACGCTCTGCTGCTACTACACTACTGATAGTCAAAAACAACTTCAGTATATTAATTATTAATCTTTTGTTTGACTTAATTCTTATTTTTCTTTTTTTTTAGCTCATTTTATCTTCAAATCAATTTTATCAAATATTTTATTTGAATGCGTTGTCTTTTTGCCCACTAGATTACGATCCTAACTTGCCATTTTTTCAATTAATTACGCCAAAGTTCACACGTGGTCTCCGCTGACAAAATCTCCGGCGACAAAATCTCTGCCGTATTTTTTAATATTTTTTTATGTTTTATAAGTATCTATCAATATTATTTTATTACTTTACTCGGTTATTTTGGTTTATTTTGGGTTATTTTTTGATCTTTTGTCTCCTAAGATTTTGTCGCTTAGATTATGTCGCACGGAGATTATGTCGGTAACGGGAGCGCGCCAATTCGCCTCCACGTCAAGTCGACCTTTGATCTCTCAGTGCGACTACTCGCCCTTGACAGCTCGACCTAGCGACATCTCGACTTCGAAAAAATTTAATTTTTGTTTGCGATCGGTATTACTTGTGTATCGGTACAAAGTGTGTTCCCCTACTCTCTCAAAATTAAAAAAGCCTCTCAACAAAGAACTTACGAAGAAATGGACTCTCGTTTATTAAATGTTGTGTCTGATTATAACAAAAAACACGTATTATCGTATTTGAACAATGTTGCTCTTAATGTTACCTTCAGCTTGTACAAAAAGTGATTATGTTCCTTAATAACTTTATATCGTGTTTCAGTTAAGTTTTTCATTGTTTGCTATTACTTTCAATCGTTCATGGTGACTTTATGTTTTGGTTTTATGACAATTTTATTATATGTCGTGTTTTAAGTAACATAACTTTGTTGCTATTCTTTTTTTACATACTCTATTATTAATAATTTTTTTTTACATTTACTTAATTTTTGTTTTTTTTTTTTTTTTTGAGTGTTGACTTGTCACGGGGTCGAGTGTCACAGAATGAGATGTCGCACATTCGAGTTGTCCGCGGGCGAATTGTCTCATGTCGAGTTGTCGTTAAAAACGCGTAGACTCGTCGGTAACCCGACCGAGTAAGCACTCGACTTATAAGGTATATCAGGTTCACCGTTATAATAATACATTCTCAAGCTCAAGTTTTATATTTAAAGTGCAATTCATAATAACTATTCATTCATTGAAAAATTGTGTCTTAAATTAATAAAAATTGCAAACTTAGTAGAAAGAAAAATTTACTAAATTATTTTTGATATTTTTAGGGGTGGCTGTGATATTTGGTTTACTGATCGTTATCGCGGCTGGAATCATAGCTGTTACCTTTCCTAGTATCATTAATTATATAATTCATCATGAAATTGCATTACGAGAAGGTGGACGCACGTTTTATTGGTGGAAAGATCCACCTGTCACACCGCAAATGCATGTCTATATATACAACGTCACAAATGCCGAAGAATTTCTCAATAACGGGCAAAAACCTATTTTAGATGAAGTTGGACCCTACATTTATCTTCAAACTTGGGAAAAAGTAAATGTGAAATTTAATTCGAACGACACTGTGACTTATAATGTAAAGAAGAAATTTGTATTCTCTGAGGTACGTAAGATTATTATAAATCTATGCTTTTAACATAATTCATCTCCTTTGAATATTGTGCTCTTTTGAAGAACAATATACAATTGTTCACCTAATGATTTAATTGGTCATTCATTATAAACATTATTGCACTTTTATATTTTTGCACTTTATTGCAAAGTTATATTTTTGTCTTTGAAAGAACATATGGGTAAAAACGTGAATAATGCTCCAGCGCTACGCGCGGGCAGCGAAAACGGCCGGATTGCTCAGTTTTCAACTCGCCCGCAAAGGGTTAAATAAAATTCAAAAAAATAAACTAACATACGTTTTCGATAGGTTTTTACCTAAGCTTTCTACTGGTGAGGTCGAAAGTGCATAAATATGCATCCTTAACCTCAAAAAATGGACTTGAAGATAAAACACGTTATAACTTCCAGAGTTCAACTCCAATTGACTTTTTGAGTAGCTAAATCGAAAGACTTCGCGGGTATTTTTTTGCTACACTTTACGTTTCTGTACTTATCACGCGTTAGGATTTAGCCATACAAATAAACAAACACATGTTTTTTTTGTATTTTTTTTTTCATCTTTCCAATGGTGCTATTAGTTTTTGGTAAAATTGCTTTTTTGAACAAATAAATTAACTGTTTTGATTAATAGTTTCATTATTTTCGTTCTATTCGCAAAACAAAGCCACGATTCCAAAAACTAATAGCACCATTGGAAAGATGAGAAAAAAATACACAAAGAGCATGTATTTGTTTTTTTATGGTGAAAGCCTAATGCGTGAAAGGTAAAGAAACGTAAAGTGTAGCGATAAATCAGGCCGCGGCGCTCGAAAACGGCCGACCACTTGCTCTTTCCCTCTTCACCGCTCGAGAAAATCGAAAAAGTCCCTTTCTTTTAGTCATTTCTTATGTAAAATCGCAAAATCTTTTGATCTATCTATCCAAAAAGACGACCGGATTTGAACTGGAAGTTACAGCGTGTTTTATCTTCAAGTCTATTTTTTGAGGTTATGGAGGCATGGTTTTGAATTTTTGACCTCACCAGTAGAAAGCTAAGGTAAAAACCTATCGAAAAAATATGTTGTTTTATTTTTCTGAATTTTATTTAACCCTTTGCGAGCGAGTTAAGGAGGCTCTTTCGATATTGATAAAAACTCTACATCCTCATATAAGTTATATCAATCAATTCGTTAGAGCCTCACACTTATGTAGGAAGAAAAAAAAATGGGGGTAGCTGAACTCGTTTCCGAGAAAAATGCTGTCGAAAATTGCAATTTTAACATGGACTTGTATAGGAAATGATCTTGTTTCGTTAATAACTTTTGTAAAAAATTCTACATCCTCAAAAAATTTATATCAATTGATTCGTTAGAGTTTCACGAATCGTTTCCTGTAAAAAAAATAGGGGTAGCTGACCATTCTAAGAAGATAATCCACTTTATATGGTCAATTTTGGGGGGCGACTCGAAGCAGCCAGCAGCAATGCAGTGCGCACGAAAGCGCGTGAAATTCAAATGCGCTTAAAAAAAAAATAGTATAAATTCTGTAAAAAAATTCTTTTATTAAAAAAATATTAACACTAACATTCTTTAAATAAATTTGTTAATGAATATTTAACAATTATATAATAAAAAAATTCTTATACTACTCTGCTGACTGCTCGCGACTAGTGGCACAGCACATGCGCAGTACGTTGCGCGCTGCACCATGCATTAGCTCTCCGCACGCTTAATGTAAAAAACATTGCAGCGAAAGAGCCTCCTTAAAAACTGAGCAATCTGGCCGTTTGCTGCCCGCGTGTGGCGCTGGGGCATTATTCACGTTTTTACCCATATTAATTTTATTGTATTTGCTAGTTACTAACAAATAATTTTTATATTTTAATGCTATTTTTCATTTTTAATGGATTATGAGGTAATAAATATGATTTTTGATCGTAAGTTTCTCGTGTAAATGTATATAAATAACACAGTCATAAAAAAAAGAAGTTCAGTTCCACCCACGTGACCAAGAAAACTTTATGCTTTTGGAGTCGCTAAATACGAATCTGGCGTTAGTTTTGCAAGATTTTTTTTCATTTACCAGGTTATTTGATGATAAAATTTAGAAAAAAACGGTAAAAAAATCTGGGAACACATATGCTTGTACTTTGTAGAATCATGAATTCAAACGAAGTTTAATTCTTCTATCAACTTGCCGTCAAGGATATTTGCAGGTCAAATTTAGAGAAATCAACACAAAATATAAAAAAAAAATTATATCGATCGATCTTTTAGGTTTTTTGTAGCTTTAAGGTTGTGTCGAGGTTCAAATCTAATCACCATTAGATTCTCCGTTGATACATACGTTTAACATGGCATTTTTATTTTTTACCTCTCCTTCTGCTAGATTCCCACGGGCATACGTTTTTCCCATAATTGCTTCCTCATCAAGGAAACTTTGTTCTAGGCGTCAAAACGAGATTTTGAACCAATAGTCATAGAACAATTTAGCTCACATATTTAGAAACTACATTGAACTCACAACAAATGTTTGTATATCGTCGCCCCAGTGCAGGAAGGTATTGCTTCCAATTCTGCAGCATAAAGGATACTTTAACTCGCGCGCAGAGGCAAAAAGGTAGCTAATTCAAGCGCGGCACCAAAACAGTACCTTGTTCAAATTCGGTGGCAAGAAAGTTTTTGCTTGCTTTTTAGGTTGGCAACGTAGCCGTAAATGATAAAATTTTGTTCTGTATTTGAGCAAAAAAGAAAAAAAAACAATTGAGCTAGTGTAAAGATTTTCATCTATTTGTAATGCAAGCAAACAAATAAATCTCACCGTGTTATCGACTCAATTTGCCACTTATGAAGAATTGTGTAAGCTCTGAGAGGAAACTAGAATAAAATGTTGAATGTTGAATGTTGAAACAAAATTTTATCATTTACGGCTGAGTTGCCAATCTCAATTCAGCTAGCCAAAACTTTCTTGCCACTGCGTTTGAACAAGATACTGTTTTGGTGCGGCGCTCGAATTAGCTACCTTTTGGCCCCTCTAAAATTTTAGTTTTGGGACCTTTTTACCATGTACTATAACATACCAAACCGCGTCAAAATCGGTGACATACGTGCGCACGATTATGATTCTGTAAATGAATAATCAGTACATATAATAATCATCGGATTTGATAAATGAATAAAAATGCTAAATAACAAAAAAAATGGCGTGATTAATGCTCATGTCGGATATAACGAGAACTTTTCGACGGTTCCATGAATCTCATTGTAAACGGTCTCCACTGTATATTTATAAACACTGACCACTTCTTTTTTTACGAAACTTTGGTTATTTTTAAGTCAAAACAAAACAAAAATACTACTATGTAGTCTAACTTATTCATGGGAATAATCACTCTCGCGCAACGTAATAAGAGGAAAAGCTTACTTTTATTTTAAAATTCAAAATAAAAATTGTTACTTTCATGGTATAGATAAAAGTCATTAAATATAATATTTTTGAAAATATCACTGAAATTTAATTGTTTCTGTTTCTTAGACTTTATCAGGTCGCTCTGAAGAAGATGTAGTTATTGTACCTAATGTTCCTATGTTGTCAGCGACTTCACAATCGAAGAATGCTGCTCGATTCCTTCGATTAGCAATGGCTTCAATTATGGATATTCTTAAGATAAAACCATTTGTTGAGGTTACTGTGGGACAACTACTATGGGGATATGAAGATAGTCTGCTGAAACTTGCGAAAGACGTAGTTCCAGATCAAAAGCTTCCATACGAACAATTTGGATTATTTTATGAAAAAAATGGCACTAGCAAAGATAACTATACGATATTCACTGGAAAGAATGATATAACTCACTATGGACTTCTTGATAATTGGAACGGTAAAAATTTTTTCGGCCATTGGAATTCACCACAATGTGATACAGTCATGGGAAGCGATGGTAGCATTTTTCCTCCTCAGATAACCAAAAATACCGTCTTGAAAATATTCGATAAAGATCTCTGCAGAGTTTTACCACTTGTATATAAGGTAATATATCTTAATATTATTTTTTAATAATTTGTAACACTCCTTACATACGGACGTAGTCGGAGTGAACATGCATAACCAGGGATCCTACGAACTTCTATATTCTAGTCCACCTTAAACATCTCGTGATCACTTTTCGATGATTAGGGGTTCAAGAACTATACAACTCAGTTGTTGACAGCTCGACACTGGCCCAAGTCAGCTTTCATTGAAATACTTTTTGTCTATCGTTTCGATATCATGTCGTGTGTTTACTTTTTGTGTATTCCCACTTCGTAACGGTAATTTCGTTTATTATTATCATTTTTTAACGTGATTTTTACGTCTCAAACCAATGCCTCTAAAGTACACACATCAATATGACTCATAATAAGTTTAATATAACTCACAAGCACTCAAGCATTCACTCGAAAGCAAGCTAAACTAATTATTATTTCAACAATGGGAAAAAAATATGTTTAATTCGCAATGAATATACAGTGGAATCCGCTTATTATGGCCACGGTTTTGGCCAAATTAAATGGCTGTCCATAATACACGGCGGAAAAGAATCTATTCAAAAAATAGTACATAATAGTACATTTTGCACCTAGGGTATAAAAAATTGGAAAGGCTCAAAACACGTGCAATTTATCATCTGAGGCGAAGCCGAGGCTGATAATTATCTTAAAATATTCTTAAAAAATCATTCAGTTTCATAACGATGAAAATTAATGTAATTATTAAAATTTTTTGCTTTTCTGATAGAGCTTTGGAAGTTTATCGAGTTCTTAATAATAGCTAGGCGTTTACTATTAATTGAGTCAGCGCGCGATAATTCGACAATTTACAGCGACATTTTAAAAAGACTGACGAGTCTAATATAAATTAGCTTGAGATACGAATGCTATAAGTATGTATGTAACCAAGTTAAAGCCATGTAATTTTTTAATTACAGCATGAAGTTACAACCGCAGCTGGAGTTCCTGGATTTAGATTCGTTCCAGCGATAGACGTATTTTCGTCACCACAACGTGTGCCATCTCAACAGTGTTTTTGTCCTTCAGGACCACCTTGCGCTCCAGAAGGTACATTCAATGTTTCACTCTGCCAGTATGACTCACCAATTCTTCTCAGTTTCCCTCACTTCTATTTAGGTAAGTAACGTTTTACAATGCGCAATTTTCCTGAAAAATTTACTGTATGATAAAAATTTTTAAATTATACTAATTACATCATAAAAGTTTAGATGCGCTTTCCGTATGTTATATTTCATAGAAAAATAGTGCGCAACAGAAGATTTTTGAAACCTAGGTCGCTCCTAAGCGCTACAAATCATATTAACTTCTTTTTCTTCTAAAAATTTGAAAAATTTAACAAAGGTACCTTTCAATTGTCACAAAAATATGGGTTTTTTTTTCGAAATTCTCATATGGTCTTGATACAAATTATTAAAAATTTCAACGATTTATTCTCGGTAGTTTGATTTAGTAAGCAAGTTGGAAATGTTTTCGCTTATTTTGAGTATAAAATCACAAAACCTCAAATTTTCTACAGGTTTTTATGAAGTCAAAAATATCTTATACTTGATTGAGAATGCGCATATGGCTAAGGATACATTGAATAATACCAACATAGAAATAAATTGAGTCATGTGATGACTTAATGTACTATGGGCCGATTCTCTGTCAACTCAACGGGTCAAAAATGAGGGCGAGGATCTCTCGCCAAAACGTCGTGTTATAAGTGTTTTTTTCTAACAATAAAATCGTTCAAAAAAAACATATACAATTGGCTCACCAAGATCGACAAAATTATTTTATTCATACAAAAAATCTTGAGCGAACTTAAATTATATACTTGAATGAATAAGTTTATTTTTGGACTTTTATGCTATTTTTCGTTTTTAATGAGTTTGAAGCTGATTTTTTGACTAAAAATTTAAATTCTTCATCTAATGTTACAATAATTTTGTCATAATCACCCAAAAAAATTAGAGTAAAATTCCTTCTCGTATGCTAACCTAATGTCACGAACACATAGAATAATGGTATTAAAAAATATACCATACTGCTGACTTAAACGCAAAGAGACTTTAATGACCTTATTCAGATTAATTTAAATTCTCAAATAAAAAAATGCCAATATATTTCTTAATACTAATATCATTTCAGGTGATCCTACATTGAGGGATGCTTTCATAGGAATAACAACCCCTGATGCAGAGAAGCATCAATTATTTATTGACGTACAGCCTATAATGGGAACTGCTTTGAGAGCAAGAGCAAGAATACAAATTAACATAGCGGTCAGCCAAGTCAAAGATATTAAGCAAGTTGCAACTTTTCCCGATATAGTTTTCCCATTAATATGGTTTGAAGACGTAAGTATGAAAAAAATTATAAAACTTACAGTTGCATTAAGAGCTAACAGGGGGCTTAATTATTTTCCATTTTTCAATTACAGTACTAGGCTGTAAAAGTGAAAAATAATTTTTTTCAAGAACACACATGATAACCTTTTTGAACTGTTGATGAACTGTTCACCTTATGTCTAGCTTTTGGTTGCGACCATGGCCAATTGACTATCGAACAAAATGAAACCACATAGGTCACAATAGATTGATGCTCTCTCTTGGAATTCTACGATAGGTATAGCTTAGATGTGTCTAAAGCTTACGTAGAGGGTCATTACACTCCATATCACTGTACTTAACTGTTTCTAAGTATTTAACTGGATAAAATACTTTCAAATAGGGTATCGAAAGGGGTTATCATGTGTATTTGAAAAAAAAAATTTTTTTTACTTTCACAGCCTAATACTGTAAATGAAAGATAAAAAATAAATAAGCCCTTAATAATAAGATGAAAAGTATCGGATATGACCAGACGTATTTTTTTTTTTTTTTTTGCTCACAACAGAGTAACATAACTGGTAAACATAATAGAGAAAAGGGAAAATCCAATTAAGATGGTGACAGCCGAATTGTCATCTGTATTATCTGACAACAAAAGGGTTCGAACCAACCCTGACTCCGTATCAAGAAAGTCCGTGACTTTTATCGTTTCTTTAGTTTACGTACAGCGATTCATATTGTATTTTTTTATTTTTTTCTTTTTTTTATTTTTATCATATTGTAATTTTTTTTTATTTTTTTTTATTCAAACCTTTTGAAATAATTTCGAGAAGAATCGGAAACTTGTCTAAGCAGTCTAAACAACCTCCCAAGAAGCATTTATCAGATGGTTCTTGACATACTATTTTTTTTATGCAATCTTTGTAATTTAATGGGGAATCATCTCCCGTCGTTAATTATTTTAGATTAATGGCTTCTAACATTAATTTTACATTCTCGTGATATACGCATACACAATCATTATGTGTTCCGCTACTATCAGCTGTAACAACCCAGTTGAAAATAATTGCATGGATATCCACGTGGATTATCCACGAGGATCATACAGGGATTCCACGTGGATTATACAGGGATTCCACGTGGATTGATCATTGTTTGAAAAAAATGCAATGCTGATTTTGAACTGATCTAAGTTGATTTTTGTTCAATCATTGTAGATTTTGGACTTGTTCACGAGCACGCGCTCGAAACATCCGCGAGGTTTCGTCGGTGTATCACCGCAGATTTTGAACTGATCTACGAGGATAATTAATAACCGTGCTGGAAAAAATCAGTTGAAAAGTCAGGTGAATTATCACGTGAAAATCGTGCCAAATCGTCTTTCAATTAGATAAATCGATAAATCGATAAATTGAATTTTTGCAAAAATGTTTACGTTTGTTTTGTTTTAGTAGCTATAACTTTTTTATTGCGCAAAAAATCAAAATTTTGAGCTCATGCTCTGAAAGGGCATTGAATTTTACATCGAAATAGGTCTGTGTCAAGGCCTAAACTATAAAAAAAATCGCTGCGGAAACCAACAAAAAAATCAAGTATTTTGGTCGTTAATGGGTTAATCTCAATCGTATGCAGTACTAGGTATTTCGAAGCTTCCCGAAAGTTGAAGATCATTTTCCAATGCTCTAGATGCATAAAATGTTGGCATAATAACAACTACTGCTTTCGATCTCTGGTGTGTGTAAAAGGTATTTCCAAACGCAAATAAAAATTCCATATAAATGTAGATATTAAAAAGGTCAAGAGAATAAGCCAAAGCATGAAAGCAACAAAATCACCAGGCCATGAACAATCAACGGGAAAAATTACCAAGGAGCGCCCACAAATTGCTGCAAAATACTTAACTATTGTATTCAACGCGTGCTTAGGCTTGTGCCATTTTCTCTCAAAGTGAAAACAGATGTGGAAATAATCAGTATACATAAACCAGACGTGAAGAAGCCCTGAGGTTTGGCCTATTTTGGGTGTGTGTTCGACCGTAAAAGTTAAAGTTGGGCTGATGATCACACACGCAATCACTTTCGTAAGGCTTCTGAAGGCCTGTGTGGGCTTGAGAGTTCTCCGGAAGTTAAGTTTGTTAGATTCAACATCAGGCACCGAAGAGAGAAAGTAATTTTAAGGTACTCGGTCAGCGAGTGCAAGAATGTGCCTGAAGAGCAAGTGTCTAATTTGGATGTGAGAATATCGGCCGGGCTGTACCAGTGCGAGGACACGGGCGAGATAAGGCCCAGAGTCGGGGGCAGATCGCCCGAAGACATGATGCGACGCAGTGAGTCCTCGTGGGCAGTAATATGTAAATTAGCGATTAGCTGTAAGCAATAAAGTATTGTGTGTAAATTGAGAATCACTTGTTTCGTAAGCATAGCCCTGAAAGACCAATTTCAGGTAACGAAGTTCAGGATGGAGTGACGGGCACCCCAGCAGGAGGCCCAACTCGGTGAGAGGTCTGAACCTCCTCGAGAGACACGGTAAGGCCGGGTGGGTCCCGAATATAATAAGTATTTCGACGGCAACGCCCTGCAAGGCGAATAAAAAGGCCCGGTAGCACCTACACTGCACCTAGACTGTCGACTGAAGTGGGGTCACACATGTGGGCTAAAAGGGAGCAGTTAGGTCTTGGGTCGCGCTCGCTATATTGGTTGTTGGGAATTGGCCCTGTCGCTGGAGAATAAGGTCCTGATCAACAAAGCAATTCTGAAGCATAGACGTACGAATTTCAGCTCTGGGGTAGAGCGGCAAACTCGAACATTCACGTTATTGAGCATTTTCAGGCTAAGGTACTTCGCTGTTTAGTAGGCGCACCCTGGTTTGCCGGCCTAACGAGGTGATCCGCAGAGACCTCTAAATTCCCAATAGCTTGGAGGAGATTAATAGAAATCTTGAGGAATGCAAACGCCAATTGCTACTTACCCTCAAATTCGCTAGCGTCTGTTTTGTCGCGACCAATCCTGAGGACAAGGCTCAAAAAACTACATAGCTTGTAAATTAGCTTGATTCTGTCCAATTGCCTTAAACAACTAAACTAATTTTATTAAAAAATAGCTGATAATGATTAGCCCATCTAGCAGACCCCAACATTTTATCTGTAATGTACGCAGCGCTCAAGCTATTTACTTATTGTCTTATTGTTTTATTGATAGATTGTAAATAAAAAAAATAAAGAAAAAAAATGAGGAAATTTTTTCAATCTCAATATATTAATGAATGATAAAGTTAAAAATGTATGATTTAAATTTGTTGGGATGTGATTGATAATTTTTAAAATTTTAAATTATATATTTTGTTTCAGGGTATTGATCAGTTACCAGATAAAGTGACTTCGTTACTAAAAATTGCAGTGGATTTACCTCCGATTGCTCATACAGTGATAACAAGTGTCTTAGCCTCAATTGGTTGTATTATATTCTTTAGTGCAATTTTTTGCTTGATTCGTGCAGCAAATCGACAAGAAAAATTGCATTTAAGTGCACCAATATCTGTAACGAAACCTAACAAAAATTTGGCTTCAGAGTTTCAAAATCCTAGTCAAGGAATTTTTTTCTAAATAATGAATGTTGATGCACCAAAGAAGTCTTAGGAGCATTAAAGTTTGAAGAGTTAATATATATTTATACTTTTTGAGGATGGGTAAGGAAAAAGGGACAACGGTTAATGTAATTATTTATCATAAAAAAAATATAGAAAAAAAAAAATTTATTCTATAAAAAAGGGGAAAAATGAATCAATAAAACCAAATTATTAACATTATGATATGGAAAATTATTGAAAAACTTTCTATTAAAGCTCACAAAAGTTTTATTTATACATCCAAATTACAATGATAAAATAAATATTAAATGTATCAATAAATAAAACTATTGACAAGATTATCTCATTATAACCTCTGAAATACGAAAAAAAGTTCTCAAAACACTAATGTAAATTAAAAAAGCAGAAAGTTACAAACTAGTAGCTGAATAAGCAAGCTTTTTTGAAACATGGTCAACGATACTATAATACGTACTGCTTCATTTTAGATTAACATTTGTTTACGATATTCTTTGAACTACACTTTCAATGCATTTTAACCGACTTTATATCAAATTAAAAACCTTTGTAGCTCTTATTAATTAATTAAAACGTTTGTTGCGATTGAAAAAATTTATAAAATCTGCTGAAATATTTTAGACCTTTGAATATTCATAAAAAAAATTCGTTGTTTTAAAGAAAATATATTAAATTTTATATATATTTTAGGAATTATTTGTTTAATAAAATCTTAACTAAATTTAATTATACTACTTTATTATTTTCAATAACCTAATCAAATTTAATTATATGCGAAAAAAAGACGAATCTAAGAGGGACAGTGGCCATCACGTTATGCGTGGGCCTCATCGACACCCCCGAGACGAAAGACCGACTACGCACCATACAAGAGGGCCACGACTCGGCACTGGGAGGCCACAAGGGCATAACAAAAACGTACAATCGCATACGCGAACGGTACTTTTAGATTAGAATGAAGAAAGAAATAACCGATTAAGTTCGATCGTGCCCTACGTGTCAAAAAGAAAAACTCACGCGCGTAAAGACGCAACTCTCGCTAACCATCACGACTGCACCAACGGAGGCTTTCGAGGTGATCGAAATCGACATCGTAGGGCCCCTACCGATAACAAAATTCGGAAGCAAGTACCTGCCAGCAATACAATGGAACTTGACTATATACGCGGAATCAATACCGCTACCCGATGTAAGGGCAGATGTATTAGCGGCCACCTTCGCCCACGAATTTATATGCAGATGCGGCTGCCCGAAAATAATACGTAGCGACCAAGGCCAAATTTAATTGGAAAGATATTTTCATCAATGGCTAAAATCTTTAAAATCACACAATTCAAGTCCACGGCCTACAGACCCCAGACCCAAGGATCACTCGAAAGAAGTCACCACTCTCTCATCGAGTACCTAAAGATATTCGCCCCCAAGGTCGATTGGGATACTCATGTAAGGTGTGCCATATTTTCCTACAACTCGTCGGTGCACACAGCGCACGGATTCACGCCGCGCGAACTAGTGTACGGCCGAAAGGCCAGGATCTCGAGCGAATTCGCAACCAAAATCATGGAGAGAACCTACAACGAATATTTGGACGACATGATTGCGAAGCTCAACGCAACACAAGCACAGGCGAGAAAAAACCTTATTGCGGCAAAAGAAAGATCAAAGTATTATTACGATCAAAAGGCGCACGATCGAACCTTCCGAGAAGGCGACCACGTATACTTGCTGAAGGATGCCCGACAAAATAAGATGGACGAGCATTACTCCAGCCCCTTTCCTCTTGTCAAACGGCTCGGAGAAAGAAATGCCGAAATTAGATGTAGCGCGAACAGAACCAATCATGCATTAGGACAAACTCAAGCATGCGTTCATCCGAGGAGATAAAGTAATCGAAAACAACGGCCGCGGATTGAGCGCAGATCAAGCGACCAAGCCTCGCGCGACAGCCGAGCCATAAAACAAGGCATATAACATACATCGTGAGGACAAGTAACAACAAGTCGGTGCGATACCTTGTACGAAAAAGGAGTGGACGATGTCGTCAAGACCGGCGCATACAAAGGCACGTGTTATAACCCAGTCACGAATACGGAGTCGCGCGTGCTGCGTTCCCTGCGAGTATGCGCAGTTGGCTATTCTTCGGGTGGGGTCGCTCCTCGATGAATGCGTAGAACGCAAAGAAGCCGTGGCGTTTCTCCCTGGTGATGATGTCGCTTCCGAGGGTGGAAAATAATGACCTCAATGAGGTGGGCCGACGTTGCCTCGACTCTTGCGAGGAGGGTTTACGTCGGGGGAGGTCCCGTCAACGAGTTACAACGGCCTTGTTGCTACTCGTTGTGCACGTGCTCCGCTCGTTCAAATTGCAAGTCGGAGCTTACGAGGGGCGGTCGGTGACCTGAGGGTCGTGAGACACCGGTGGCGCGATTCTTTCTTCTAGATGATCTTTCTCGTGCCAAGAGTCAAAAGGACATCCGCCCAAGTTGACACCCACACACGAGGTCGACCGAAAAGAAGGGATTATCGGCACTCAACCGTCAGAGTCTCGCACCGGGATATTCTCCCGTGCACGATGCAATGGCGATGAGTAGCTGTGATAATCTCGTTCGAAAGATTACGTCCCATAGTTAGTTCAAGGACTAAGTCCGATAGTTAATTCAAAGACTAAGTCCGGTTATCACTCCAAAAACAAAATTCGATTATCGCTTCTGAGACTAACAAGGAGAGCCTTTCATCTTTGGGTCACAGATCCTTACCAAACTTGTTTAGGGGTCTTCTTGTACATAATAATAAAGCCTCCTAGTTCCAATGGGCCCTGGAAAGAGTTATAGAGCAGAAAAAAGTATTAAATATAATATAACGTTAAAAAATACCACTTATTGGTATCAGGCCTTGTACGGTCAAGTCTAACTCTCTCAAAGATATTTGTACATGAAATTTAATGCATTTTAAACACTTTTGCAAACAATAAACAATTAAACTCAATTGGTTTGTTCAATGTGTAAGTTTTGAAGCGCGTACCAATTTGAGCTAAAATTAACGTACCAAACAATAAATATTGATGTAAATTATATGAAAATGTTTTTATTTGTATAACTCATAAATTCCTTCTCTTCACCTATTCCTGACACTCATCTGGATTCAGATTTACTCCAGATGAGTGTCAGAAATAGATGAGAAAGAAAGAACAGTAAGTTTTATGAATGAAAACATTTTTACATGATTTAATATAAATATTAGTTGATAAATGCATAAATTTTAACTCAAATTGATGCGCTCTTCAAAACTTACACAGCAAACCAATTGAGTTAAGGGCTCAAAGGGGGCTTAAATAATTATATATTTCTATTTGTAGTATTAAGCTGAAAAAGTGAAAAAAAAATTTTTTTCAGAAAACAGACATAAGAGCCTTTTTCAATACCCCATTTTAAAGTACTTTGTCCAGTTAAATACTTACAAACACATTACAAGAGCATTGATGATATCTATAAAATTTATCAAAAATAATCATTAATGAATAAAATATTTTATTAAATTGTATGTGGAAGTAGTCAAAGTTGATCTTATGCGTAGCTTGAGGTTGCGTTGATGGATAATGATCCATCGAAGAAAATGAAATGACATAGAACTTAGTCGTGTCAAGCCATCACTTGGAATCTTACGACAAACAGCTTAGATGTCATCAATGCTCTTCGCTGAAGGCTCATAGGCCGATACAAGTTAATTTATGTGTTTGTAAGTATTTAACTGGACAAAGTACTTTAAAATGGGGTATTGAAAAAGGCTCTTATGTCTGTTTTCTGAAAAAAATTTTTTTTTCACTTTTTCAGCTTAATACTACAAATAGAAATATATAATTATTTAAGCCCCCTTTGAGCCCTTAAATTGTTTATTGATTGAAAAGGTGTTTTGGACATTAATAACTTAAAGTATAAATACTTCTCAGTCAGTTAGACCTGACTGTGTAAACCTGATACCCTTATACTCTAATATATGGTATTTTATACATTACATTATATTATATACTTCATGGTGCTTTATAATGGTTTCCAGGGCCCATTGGAATAAAGTAACTATATGGGGCTTTATTATTATGTACAAGAAGACCACCAAACAAGTTTGTTAAGGATCTGTGACCCACAGATGAAAGGCTCTCCTTGTGAGTTCAATTCAGCATGACGACACCCAGCTGCCATCATCGTATCGAAAATATTCTACTACGACGTACTCGCACCTCCGCAGGAGGCCTGTTCGCACTGGGTTTCCCATGAGGGTCCGCTCTTAGGCGTCCCTACTCTCCTCTGTCATGAGGTCGTCGTAGGTTCCCGCCGGTTCCTCGCCTTCTTGCGGGGGCAGCGGGAAGGCGCGTACGAGATTGACGGGCCGGTCTTCCTCGGCCTCCTCGAGCCCGTCTTCGTCGTCGCTCTCGTCTTCTTCGAGGTTGGGGCGGCTTCTCCTTCGTCGTTGGACTCGGCGACAGCAGCGACTTCTTCCTTGCCGTCGGATTCGTCGCCTCCGACTCTACGTCCGTCTCTATGGCCTCGTTAGATAATGGCGACACTGCCCGGTCGTACCAGGTGGGGCTGTCCAGGTACCTCATGTACGGTCCCGGACGCGCCACCGGTTCGTCTGTTTCTTCATCGCTGGCCGGAGATGGTGATGGTGATCGTGGCGTCGGTGTACTGGGCGGGGTAAATCACAGTACGACTCTTGGCCTAGCGGACGCACTGGCGCTTTCGTCGTCGTCGATATCCATGTCGCTCCCGATGTCCCCTATCTAGATTAGACCGGGTCGTTTTTGAAAAAATTTTTTGTATCGCCTGGGCTCATGGCTGAGCTGAAAGTTCAAGGTTTCAGATGAAAAAAGCCGGGCTGCAGAAGTCAAAAAAGTGACCGGAACCGGTGTCGATAGACTTTTGAAGTTTAAAAACGTGCTTCGGAAATTTAGCAAAATCGCTCTGAAAATGGCAATCATATAATAGATTGCTAACATTGCTCAGAAGGTAAAATTTATGTCGACAAGACGTTTTCTTGCGTATTTTTGTGTGTAGAATCGAATTCCGTAGTCAGTTTTGACCTAGGAGGACGATTTCATTGAAAAAAATGCACTTTTTCGATATCTTTATTCTGCGTAAAAAACAAAAAATCGTCTTGTAAACGTTTTAAAATGAACAGAAAAAATT